TGTGAAACCCATTTTAGGTGGGGGAGACAAGATGTATTCATGCCTTCCGCACAAGACGAGGGAGGAATTTGAACCCGTCTCGACATTTTTACTTTCCCAATCGTACTGATTAAGTATCTATAAATATCCAGTTTCAAGTGCAGCTTTTGCGCTCAATTTTCACTACTGCCCTCGAGAAAGGTATGAACACGTCTCTTCTCCTCCGGTGTAGTAGGATAAAGCTCATTACTCCGAATACTACTGAAACAATGACACATAATATATATTTTGCGACTCTGATTGAGAAATCAGAGAGCCGAATTCGAATTCCAATCGAATCCATTACATTCACTTACGTGCTAATACCCTTGGGAAAGGTGTGAATCCTCTTCTTCTCCCTCCAACTATGGATAAATAGCAGAACAGACTGGTTTCTATAGCCTTGAATGGCAACTGGTCTAGAAGAAGGACAACTCTGAATTTAAAACCTGCGGAGGGTCGTTTGGGGACTTTGTGGCACCAGGTCTCTGTATTGGGCCCTTCAAAAAGTGTCGTTGGTTCTGCACAAAGCCTTCACCACTGTCATCAGATCATATATGCTGGTGTCTGGGTTGTCGGTTCCTAAGCTGCTTCACTTTTATACGTCAAATACGACAGGAGAGTCCACCATATATATATATATATATATATATATATATATATATATATATATATATATATATATATATATATATATATATATATACACTATAGTTAAAAAGTTTGAGAAACCCTGGTAATTTTTTAGATTATCTAAAAAGTAGATTTAGTAGAAAATTATTATACATGGTTAAAACAGTGGGACATAATTTTATATATTAATTATTGCTTGGGGAACATAGGGCCTCAACAACACCTCTCCAACGGATGCAGTTCCGGGCGATCCTCTTCAGCTCGGCCCATGTCGTGCCGACTGCCTCCCCGGGGGATTTTCACCAGCACGCGTCATATCATCAACTTTGGAGGACTCTTCGTCGGCCATATAATTGTTTGAAGATATCGTTGGGTTTTCTGTAACAAGATGAGTAGGTTGAAGGGCCAGGGAGTGTCTTTCGTCTGGCTCCTACGCCACAGACCTGTTGAGCTTGGTTGGACCTGCTAAGAGCCGAAGGCCACACACAAATAGCTCTGGGGGTCGTTGAAGCAGTCCTATCACGTAAAGGCGACACACCTTCAGGACGGGTGTGTGTGTGTGTGTGTGTGTGTGTGTGGGTGTGTGTGTGTGTGTGTGTGTTAAAGACAACAGATATTTTGGGTTGATTAATTTTATTGATCGACTTTTCGAAATTACGAGTAATCCTTCTGACATAAGGGAGAAATTTCTTCTCACTATTCGTCAATAAGTACCCTGATGATGCCTTTAAAAAAATCGCAAACTTGGACCATATTTCTTCCGAAATGAACTTTGAACAATTTGCGACTGACTTGGTAAATTCCAAATTATTGTATTTTTTTTTCGATTGATCATATCTGCTCACGAATTGTATCTTAACGTAAACAATCCATTTCATTACATACTGTCATTTTTTACGTTAAGCTACATTTCATGAGCAGATATGGTCAATCGAGAAAAACCGTCGAAGATTGTGTTTATGAACAGAAATTTAGACTTTGCCAACCAGACGCTTCTCTGTAGCTAAATGGCATACCTCGTCAGATCAAATGACTGTTTCCAGGATTACAGGTTCAATTCCAGGCTGATAAATGTAAATTAATACAGGTAAACTAGAACAGAACATTTGCTTAAATAAATTGTATCAATAAAAATAGCGTATAAACAGAAAATATAATAAATAATTGTTGAACTGAACCCATTTCATTATATATATATATATATATATATATATATATATATATATATATATATAGCAATTCATCGACCCTAGAAAAATCTTCAACAGAATGCAGAAAGCACTGGACGGCTGTTTCGTCCTATTTCGAACTCATCAGCAATGCGCCTCCACTACCGTGATTCGAACCCGGAAACTTTTGCCAAACGTTTCATTTCGAAAAAAAAAATTCTTGTGCGTTTTCGCTTTTTTTTCTTTTTTTTTTTCTTTTTTTTTTTTTTTTTTGTTAGTGAAAATTGCCATGGTGCCATTTCTAACCTAAAATTTTAGGTCTCTGGGCGGTACCCAGAAAGAAATGTGTACATGCCAGAAATCAAAGTAAATAAAAAAAAATAATAATAATAATAATAATAATAGTGAAAATGATTAATATAAAAAGCAACAAAAAACTTATGAAATCAATCCAGGAATAAAATAACAGTAAGGGTATCCCAAATTTATAAATGTACAAGTATACCTCACCCTACGTTGTTAATTGATTCCAGAGATCACGACTTAGGTCGAAAAACGACTTAACTCGACATAACCACACTATAAGCCGCAAATGAGCACTCCCCATTGCCTCTTACAGTATTTATGAGATGTATGTACAGTATTCTGAATAAAATAATTGAGTAAAAACCAATTTTAAATTTACATAAACTCGAGTAAAACAACCGAAGGCGAGATTTATTTTTTCATATAATATTTAAGAAAAACCGAGTTATCTTCGAAAATGGCTTAACTCTAAACGATTTAAGCCGAGGTATCACTGTATTTTAATCCCACAGAAAAAAAAAATTAACACTTTGCAATATTGAATTAAACACTTACAATTTTATATACGCCTTTCATTTCGAAAAAAAATGCATTTTCGCTTTTTAAAACCAGTTAACTCTTGCATTTTTCAATGTCCATGGCTGTGGAGTCAATATTAATTTGGAAGTTTGATGTTTTGGAATTATAGTTAGCTTTTATATGTCTCAGAGTGTTTCTATACAAATGCAATTATTAACAAACTAGCAGCATGGCCCGGCGTTGCCCGTGCTTGATTCAAAAATCATACGACTTATACAGCAATCGCTATCACTTGACTTAAAATATTTTTGCCCTTCCTTGCCTTTAAAGAAGTGCTCTTTGCCGTGCTGATGTTGCTACATGCCTTACTTCTTGCCTATCTTACACTGCGAATTTTTTCTAAGCTCAATACTAATCATTAAATCTGTTACGAAAAAAGAACTAAACAAAATGAATACAAAACAAAAAAAAGGACTCGTAACTGGAAAAACCGAATGAAAAAAGAATGTTAACAACAAATACTTTTTCACATCCAACCCAGTTCTGCGGAATCAGAATCAACGTTGAGTTTAAGCAAGCGAATGAGTCAATTGGAGTATAGTGCCATGCAGATTTAAATTTTTCCCACTTGTGACGAATGCAGCTATCGATTTTTTTTTGTATGCTAGCACGCTAGTTAACATTCGTGTCTGTCAGCTGTTGGCTCTCACGCTGGCCAATAGAATCTTCCTGCCTATTCGTGGCAGCCAGCTATTGGCTCTCACTCTGGCCAGAAGAAAATGACCGCAAACTACATGAAAACTGACGTAGAAGCATGAAAAAATCGATTATTTCCACTATCGATGGGAGTTGGGAAATGCAAAGTCGGTCTTGGCCTTCCCGCTAACTTGGAGCATGTGCATGTAAATTTTTGGTGCAAATCCGTCGAAAATTTCGGCTGTGCATTCGTTACACACACACACACACACACACACACACACACACACACACACACACACACACACACACATCTTGCCTTTTATAGAGAGAGATGCTTTGGAGAAAATTAATTATGTAGTCTCATTCTGAAAGGCTTTAGATTGATTTGGGGAATCGTTAACAAGACAATTATGGGGTAAGTCTGTGTGAGTTAATATAGAAATGAGAAGAATTATTTAAAATTACATGAAGACCTTTTCGAAAAGACACTCGATATAAACGAAAGAAGGGAAGACTGCATAAAATTGAAAAAGAAAGACTGTATGAAAATGAAGAGAAAGAAAGATAGATAAAATATAAACGATAGAAAATCAATATGGAAGTAAAAAAAGAGGAAAGAAGGAAAAGAAAGAGAAGAAATAAAGAAAAGTTGTATGAATAAGAAGAAAAAAGACTGCATGAGAGTAAAGAGGGGGAAAGAAAAAGTACATAATATAAGAAAGAAAGAAAGAAAGAAAGAAAGAAAGAAAGAAAGAAGGTGGGACAAACGAGGCAGAAATGTTAGCAACATATGTGAGAAGTGTCTAAATGTTATTATGGAGAAAAGAGTTAAGAAAGAAAGAAAGAAAGAAAGAAAGAAAGAAAGAAAGAAAGAATGGATAAAAATGATGAAGAACAGCTTTATGAATGTAAAGGAGAAAGAAATATGCAATGCAAGATTGGAAAAAAGACTATGAATGGAAAATTTTAGAAAAAACCAAACACCCAAAGAAAGAAAGAAGACAACGAAAGAAAAACTATGAAAGTAAATATAAAGAAAGAAAAGTCACAATATGAGAAAGAGAGAAAGAAAGATAGAAAGAAAAAGATTAGATAAAAGAGAAAAGAAAGATAGATTGGATAGAAAGCAAACAGAAAGAAAAAAGAAAAAAAAACTCAGGATGCGTGAAAGAAAGAAAGACTATGAAAATAAATAGAAAGAAAAAGCCACAATATGAGAAAGAGAGAAAGATAGAAAGAAAAAGTCACAATATGAGAAAGAGAGAAAGATAGAAAGAAAAAAAGATTGGATGAAAGGGAAAAGAAAGAAAGATTGGATGAAAGTAAAGAGAAAGAAAGAAACTCTTACAATGCCAGAAAGAAACAAAGAAAATTACGAAAGAAAGAAAGACTGTGAAAGTAAAGAGAAGGATAGAAAAAATCACAACGTGTGAGAAAAAGAAAGAAGAAATGACTCTATTGAAGCAAAGATAGAGAGAAAGAAAATCCCACAATGCGAGAAAGAAAAAAAGAAAGACAGTATGAAAGTAAAGAAAGAAAAAGATCTGTCTACAATATGAAAAAGAAAGAGAGAAAAGATTAATAAACTGTTAGTGAAAATAAATAAACGCGATAAAGAAAGAAAGGGATAAAAGAGAAAAGCAAAGAAAATATGAATGAGAGAGAGGATGCAGTAAATGATGGTGGGTGGGTGAAGATAATGATATGAGATGCAGAAGACCTGTGGGTTTGGCAAGAGATTAGCATCTACAGCTGCAGAGGTAAAAGGACACAGTTTCAATTTCTGATTTTTTAATCAAACGGGCAAATAAATCTGACTCAATTCAACCGCACCCCTGACCCGTACACATTTTCCTTTCTTCATTGTTTTTCTTTTTTCGTTTTCTCTTTTAGTTCATCTCCTCTTCTTTCTTACTTTCTTCATTTTCACTTTCTCTTGCATTTCTTTCTTTTTTTCTCTTCACTTTCACTATCATTCTTTACTTTTATACAGTCTTTCGTTTTTATCGACTGCCATTCATTTTTTTTTTTGCTTCATATCCAGTTTTCCTTTTCTTCTCTTTTTATTTCGTTCATTTTCCTTCTTTTTCTCCCTCCTCCTGCCCACTCTCCTTTTATTCTATGTATTCGGCTATCACTCCCCCTTTTTCTACTTTCTGCTTACTTTTCTCTTTTTTTTTCTTCTTTAACTCACCCTAGTACTCGTCCCCCTCTTTTTAGTCTCTTTCCTTTTTTTTTCTTTCCGTTGGCTCACCCTTCTGTATAACCTACTTTTTTCTTTCTTTTCCTCTTCTACTCACTCACTCCTATTCCCTCTTTCTTTTGCTCACCCTTCGTATTGTCTTTCTTTAACTCTCATTCCTTTTTGGTCTTCTTCGCTCCTGCCCATGTTTCTTTCTTCATTAAGCCCCTCTTCCTTTTTTTTACTGTTCATTCTCTTTCTTTTACCACCACCACGTCTTCGTCGTCGTCGTCGTCGCCATCATCATCATCATCATCATCATCATCATCATCATCATCATCATCATCATCATCATCATCATCCTTCTTTTTCCTCCTCGTCTCTTCTTTCTCCTTATATTTCTTCTTCTTCTTCTTCTTCTTCTTCTTCTTCTTCTTCTTCTTCTTCTTCTTCTTCTTCTTCTCCTCCTCCTCCTTTTTCTTACCCCACCTCTTCCATTTCTTCCTCCTCCTCCTCCTCCTTCTTCTTCTTACCCCACCTCTTCCATCTCTTCCTCCTCCTCCTCCTCCTCCTTCTTCTTCTTCTTCTTCTTACCCCACCTCTTCCATCTCTTCCTCCTACTCCTTCTTCTTTTTCTCCTCCTACACCTTCTTCTTCTTCTTACCCCACCTCTTCCATCTCTTCCTCCACCTCCTCCTTCTTCTTTTTCTTAACCCACCTCTTCCATCTCTTCCTCCTACTCCTCCTTCTTCTTCTCCTCCTACTCCTTCTTCTTCTTCTTCTTCTTCTTTACCCCACCTCTTCCATCTCTTCTTCTTCTTCTTCTTCTTCTTCTTCTTCAACTCAACCTTTTCTGCTCTCTTTCACTTGTATTTTCTTTTTCTCCAATCCTTTTTTTTTTCACCCAACCGCATTCTCTTTCTTTAACCGTATGAATCTTCCCATAATGCTCCAAATCATCCGACGTCCATGTTGAAACTTTCTTTAAGGGAATTTTATGAACTTTTTTTTTTATATATTCATCGTATTTTTGTTGTAATAACGTTTATCGTTATGTTATCTTTTGTTTTCTTCATTTGTTTTTATTTTATTTCGTTTTTTGTCGCACGACTTCACGAGGATTGAGTGCATTTGTAGATATGACCAGACTAAATAAACATCACTCTAGTCCCATATATTTTCCACTAAAAGACTTATCTCCCCCTTTCATCTTCTTCTAGTTTGTCTTCTTTTGGCATTTTCGCCCTTTCTCTTGAGTTCTTTAACATTTTCTTTCCAAGTTCATTCTTTTTTTTCTCTCTTTTTTTCTTGACTCTTACATTTTCCATGCCTTGACTTGTTCGAGGTATGAGTTTGCGTTGAATTTTCCTATGATTTACCTTTATTTTCTATTATCAAGTTTTTCTTGTTTTTCTTCGTCTTCTTCTGACTTTTCTTCTTTCAAATTCTTCACCTTCTTTGCCCCATTCCTTCTTTATCTATAGAAGTGTGTGATATATAACATTCTATATATCAGAAAGTTGCTAAGCCATTGAATGACAAAGTGGAAAATTTTCTGTGTAACGCGTTTCGTCCTCTAGAAAAAAACTTCATCAGAATAAAATAATGCTTTTTATTGATGGAATGATGTTTGTTAGAAGAGGAGGGGCAGATTTGCTATCATCACAATATGGGTTGCTTAATAATAAAAAGTGATGGAAAAAAACATAAGAAAATGGAATAAAAATGGCTAGGCTACACAAACATCTAAAAAATTAATTTAAAAATTTTAAATTTAAGCGTTCCAACATTTACGACGTTTCCTGTGGGTGTAGAATTAAAACGCACGCCTGTGTTTTCATATCTCAGACTCCTACAGATATAATTCCATCGACAAAAACATTTAGTCCAAGGAAATCCTACAAAACGAAACGCATCTATCTATCTATCTATCTATCTATCTATCTATCTATCTATCTCAGTCTGTTAAATATTTATCTATTTCAGTTTGTTCATTATCTATCTTTTCTATCTATTTATAAACCTCAGTCTGTCCATTATATACCTATCTAAGAATCTCACTCTGTTCATTATCTATCTATCTATCTATCTATCTATCTATCTATCTATCTATCTATCTATCTCAGACTGTTTCTCAGTCCGTTCATTATCACTATATCTATCTATGTAAGCAAATATATGGATATAGATCCGACAGTATGAAGAAAAATATACAGAAAAAACAAACAAAAATCTTAATATGCAATTATGCTGTATCAATGTTAATATAAAGTCAATGTCGGACGTTTCGGTCTATTTTAGACCATCATCAGGACATATTCATAAAACATGATTAACATTAGAACATATAAAATTCAACAGGAAAAGACGATGGACATAAGAGCACAACTAATCCAAACAGATAACTGAATTTTTTATATAAGATCAGCGTTCTGTTTAAATATGATCACGTCGTCGTCACGTGGGCGATGTTGTGAAAACGTATTCGAAGATGATTTCAAAATATTAAAATATTAAACAAGTTCGATTGAACTATTTTCTCATATAAACAGTTCAAGAAATTCCTTCCGTTGATATAGGAATACGCAGCGATCAATAGGTTCTTATATCTTCATACAAGCTTGAAGACCTCCGCGTTACAAAGTAAATCAAAAATGATTTCAAAATATTAAACAGGCACGATGTAACAATTTTAAACAGTTCGTTAATAAATCCTTTCCTTACTTACAGGAATAGGCGGATTAACATTAATACAGCATAATTGCATATTAAGATTTTTGTTTGTTTTTTCTGCATATTTTTCTTCATACTGTCGGTTCTATATCCATATATTTGCTTACATACTGTCTACTGGAAAAACAAACCTGAATTTACTTTATAACATGGAAGACTTCGAGCTTGTACGAAAATATAAGAATCTATTGATCTCCGTATGTATCTATCTATATTCATTATCTGTCTACACACAACATATATATATATATATATATATATATATATATATATATATATATATATATATATATATAGTTGTATATTTAGGCAGCAAAACTTAGTTTATGCATGTTTCATTAAAACGGCAGAGAAGACAGTTAAGGTTTTTATTTAATTTTTCTTGTGTTCGAACAAGAGCTTTCTTTTCTGGACAAAGGGTGTGTAAGAACTGTCCAAATGTTTTATATTTCCGAGCGCTTTCGGCTATACCTTTAGCCATTATCAAGGATGATTCGATTTTTCAGCTTAATTGAGTGTGTGCGTTCTGTGTATGTCTCAGTGTGTGGTAGCAATGTTTTAATTCCAGAATACGGTTAGCACATTGTGGCCTTGTTCGTAGTTAATATTGTTAAGAGTTGACTTTTCTTTTTTATGATTAAAGCTTCTATGATTTTTAATCTTTTTTTACAAGCGGGTGAAGTTATTATATTTGTGTTTTCTACTAGTATGTTTCTAATGGAGTCTGGTAAATTTGTGTGTGTGTGTTTAAATGGGTTCTAATGGATCTTTGATCAGATAGGTGTAATGTAAGACGTTTGGATAAGCATGTAGTTCTATAACCGATGTAATTATTTATGAGTCCAGTTTGATCAGGAACACAGTTCCTTAAGGGGCATTTGAACTCATAGATAATGTTCGTTCGTTGTAATTTTGACTTTGTGTGTTGTGATTTTTGAGGATAAGGTTAGCTGTTGTAAATTTTTTATAATAGATAATTAATTTGATGTTTTTTTTTCGGGTCAATTGGGGTAGTGTATTTCTTTATAACATGTCTTAAGTTTTTACACACTCTTTGTCGAGAAAAGAAAGCTCTTGTTCGAACACAATAAAAATTAAATAAAAAGCTTAACGTAGTACCTTGTTTGTTGTTTTTAATGAAACATGAATATATATATATATATATCCCGTTTGATATCTTTCTATTTCCATATCATATCCTATGTTTATCTTTCTTTGAATGTCAATCGTTACTTCATGTCTCTCGATTCCAATCCAAATCTTTTTACTGAACTATCTTTAATTTTCTTCCTGATTATTTAGCAATACATACAACCAAATCTTAAAATCTGACGAAATAATCAACGAAATGCACTTTTAGTTTGGGTCGAGAAATTATTCTCTTTCATAGATATAAATATACTGTGTGAAAGTTCTCAGAATAAATCTGTAGAGAAAACAAATTGAATAAAATAGACAATCGGAAAATATTACTTAGTCCTTGCCGACGCATTTCGTCAGTCAAGACAAGCGATGATAAACAAAAGTGAAAAGTTGCGTTGTTACATGAAATTAAAAAAAATTTAAAAGAACGTCCTCTGTAAGCCTCTTACACATATGCAGGGAAACCGCAATTTACTTGTAGCCTCATTCACATGTAAAAAGACTCAACATAATGGAAGCATTAATAATAAAAGAGAAGAAGCTAAAACTCAATAAAATCAACTATGAACACGGCCACTATACGCTGACCGTCTTCTTGGGAAATACTAAAATATTCCTATCACTCTAGAGACATATACAAATCTACAGACTCACATGATATATATATATATATATATATATATATATATATATATATATATATAACATCTTTGATAATGGCTAAAAGAATAGCCAAAAGCGCTCGCATATAAAGAACATTTGGTCAATTTTACGCGCTTTATGTACAAAAAAACCACAAACGAACAGAAGAAAAACTTAAATAAAAACGTAATCACAGTAACTTGACAGACATTGTTAATGAAAATTGTATAACGAGGGATTGCTGGCGATATATATATATATATATATATATATATATATATATATATATATATATATATATATATATGTGTGTGTGTGTGTGTGTGTGTATGTATGGTGGACTCTTCCGTTGCATTCGACGTATGAAGGTCAAGCAGCTCAGTTCTTAGTGACCGACAGCCCAGACACCAGCGCATATGATTTGATTATAGTAGTGAAGGCTATGTGCAGCATCAACCTCACTTTTGAAGGGCCGAATACAGAGACCTGGTGCACCACGTGTCATAAGGTCCCCAAACAACCCCCCGTAGGTTTTGAATTCAAAATTATCATTCTCCTAGACCAGTAACCATCCAAGTCTATAGAATCAAGTCTGTCCTGCTAGACATGGGGGGGGGAGAAGAGGATTAGTACCTTTCCCAGGAGTAAGTACGTAAGGGAATGTAATGGATTCGACTGGAATTCGAACTAGATTCCTCAATCCGAGACGCTATCCACTTTTATTACTACTACTACTAATACTAATACTACTACTACTACTACACACACACACACACACACATATATATATATATATATATATATATATATATATATAACGAAATCCTTCCACCAGCAGAAATGCATTTTTCTTTCTTTATGAAAGCCGTTTCGAGCATTTAGTTATAGATAGCATCATACACACACACACACATTCCCACAGATACATACACATACATACTCACACACATATGTACATTCATAGATACCACTATATATACAGACGTACTCAGGGGCAAAAAAACACGCAACTATTTAAGGGACGCAGTGAACTTTGGGCCAAAAGGCGATTTTAAGAAGCAACCGGCAGAAAGGAATTCGGGACACACAGTGACAAAGAAAAAAACATATATGTACGCAGTTCAGTCTTTTGTGTGTTTGTGTGTGTGTGTGTGTGTGTGTGTGTGGACGTACACACAGAGACGTAAACACACACACACACACACACAACCACACACACACACATATATATATATATATATATATGTAGAGGTGGATAGATAAATCCTTCGTCTGATATTGAATTTTTTCTGAAAATTTCACTGCATAATACTCTAAGTTATTAATATCTACAACACAATTAAGTGCAATGACAAAGGAGAGTATTATATATATATATATATATATATATATATATATATATATATATATATATATATATATATATATATGACTTCATATATATATGCTAACTTCACTATGCCCATTGTGTGTTTATCTAAAAATAAATACGCTTAAATCCACCTTCATCCACTGCCAACGACTTAGTGGTAGAATCCTCGACTGACGCCAATTCAGTCTGGTTTCGATCCTAGCTAGATGCAACTGAACGTCTAGCTACACTGATGAGCTGTGATACAGCAAAACAGTTTGTCTGTGGATGAAAATATATATATATTTGCTTATATATATATATATATATATATATATATATATATATATATATATGAAATTAGCTAAAAATAATGGTGTTTAATTATTTAGTTGTATTATATATAATTATGTACGAAAATACTAGTAAGGCATATATATATATATATATATATATATACATATATATAAGAAAAAACAAGACGTATCAAAATCTGAGAGAAAAAACAAGAACAAAATCTATTCCATACCTGATGATGTCTGTAGGAACAGACGAAAGCTTGTAAAAATAATAAGAACTCATGCAACAGAAATTTATAGAAACAAGGATCTTTTCATTCATAAACAGGTTCGGGGTTTTTGTATATTATTTGAATTGTTTGCGACGATGGATTTCTCGCCAATTCAATCATTAACCTTTGTATTTGTTTTTTGTATGAATAATTCATGAATTTGTAAATTAATTGCACCTTTATTGAAATTAAAATAACTGATCCAAATGCAACTTTTGGATAATAAGTGCGACATTACTGTAATTATTGAACAATAAAGTTCATGCCATTTTGACAGAAAATTTACCAGTAAAAAAGAATTCACTTATCACCATATTTGTATAAGAACGCACAATTGTAAAATTTAAATTCAAACTCATCGTTGCGACAGCACGCTCCAAAAACAATAACTCATTTCTAATAGCATTTTTCGGATTACAACAGTACATATATTTTCGTTGTCCTCTTATTACTGAGAGAAAAAACAATAACAAAATCTATTCCATACCTGATGATGTCTGTAGGAACAGACGAAAGCTTGTAAAAATAATAAGAACTCATGCAACAGAAATTTATAGAAACAAGGATCTTTTCATTCATAAACAGGTTCGGGGTTTTTGTATATTATTTGAATTGTTTGAGACGATGGATTTCTCGCCAATTCAATCATTAACCTTTGTATTTGTTTTTTGTATGAATAATTCATGAATATATATATATATATATATATATATATATATATATATATATA